ATTAGTGTTTAATGTACATACAGCTGCCTTTCATGGAAGACTTGCGACAGTACATGTTTTCATCCTTGCAAAATAAGAAGAAATGCACTCCTACAGGTGAGTTTATTTCCATTTTGCTCACAGACTGGCTCTAAACACAGACTGTTTTGGGGAAATCACCTGTCTGCAGTCATTGCTGAGGGCTGGAATTTCTCAAGGTGGAGTTACAGTTGACCCTTGAACAATGAAAGGGTTGGAACCCCACACCCTCCATCAGAAATCCACATGTAACTTTACAGTTGGTCCTCCATTCTCTATTTGCAGATTCAACCAATCTCAGTTTGTGTAGTAATGTAGTACATACATAACTCAGAATCCGCATTTAAGTGGATCCCATGTTCTAGTCACGCTCGTATATAGTAATGATGATGGTGATTTTTTTCCCAGTGGTAGGGATAGTTTGACCCAAACTCTCCAAACATTCACTAGTTTCCTCCTTCTGACTTGGAGCTTATATCTGGAAAGCAGCTTGGAATGGATGTACATTCTCTAATTTTGAGCAGAAGGTTTACCCTCTGCTGAAATGAGTTGACATGTAGTATCTAACCCATGACTAGCGTCCTATATATAATGTGATGTAACTTTGAACCAAAAAGTTACAGTGCTGGAGATCCTTTGAGGTTTACATAAACAGTCCAAGTCCTGTTGTTCCTCGTTGCCAGGAACTCCTGGGAGCTTAATAAGAAAAGATCTTTATTAAACAGCATCTGGCTGCAGGTGTCAGGGCGCTGCACGGAATGATTCTCACAGACGCAGATCCTGTCTTGCAGAGATCTCTCAGTTTTATCAACAAATAAATTATAAAATAGTGGGCTGAAGGTAGAGACATACCAAAAAGAACACAAAATGACAAGTAAATGTTTTAATTTACAAGTTGAAATGTGTGTCGGTGTAGGATTGGGGAACTATGAGGGACGCCTCCGGACTGGGCGCTCTCTGTATGCTGGGAGCAGGGTGCAGGACGAAAGCCAAGACTCAGCTGGGCCCCTAGGGCTTGCATCTTCACCTTCTGGAAATGAGTCTCTCTACGTCATGTGGAGCCAGGCGTGACTTGGATGTGTAGAAGGTGCCGGCATGTTGCAGGATTCTGTCTCTACCTCTTGGTAATTCCAAACTGTGACTAAGAAGAATATTTCAAGAAGAGAACTTTGTTAAGAGATTTAGCTATAAATCACTCAGAATCTAAAACATTAAATATTTTTTGATCTGTTAATTTATTTTCTGTAAGTTGACCTATTTTTGTTTGCATTTGCTCTGTTGGAAAAATGAATCATTAAAATTGTTTTGTGTAGTTCCCAAGTCAACATTTAGGTAGGGGTGTACAATGCCAGAGTGATCTGCCTGATACTATCTTGTAGTAGCAGAGAATCACTGAATGTTCACAGACACAGGCACCACCTCCTTCCGTTGCCAGGTAGGCTCTGCAGTAGTCAGCTTAAGATGGTGATGGCTGTACCCGGCTTCAAACCTGCCCTTGAAAGTCCAAAAATGGGATAGAAATGTCTCATGATAAATATCTGTATGCTCTTTCATTTCAAGTAGCTGTCCTAAAGGGATGGTTGAAAAGGTGAAGAACAGAAGTATAATGGACTTTTAGGAACTGCTTATTCTTTTCCATCTTTTGTCTAGGGACTGTGAAAGATCCGAGAATAGTGCTTCAGCTTTTAACGACTGAACTGCTGAATGAATCGGCAGAATGAAAATTACACATGGTAGTTTAAGTAGAAGTATTTTGGGGAGGGTTTCTTTTCATCCACATTGCTTTGGGCTGTACCATTTTCACTGACTCATTTCATTGATTTTTATTGGGGAGCACTTGCTTTCTGGTCAGTATTAGGAGAGACATAAAGAAGAGGCTGTCACGTTTCTGTTCTCAAGGATCTTTACAATTTGAATGGAGTCAATTAAGAAATGTATGCAGGCAGTTTTTCCAAAGAAGGCATACAGACGGCCAGCAGACACATGGAAAGATGCTCAGCATCATTAATCATCAGGGAAATGCAAATTAAAACCACCGTGAGGTATCACCCCACACCTATCAGAATAGCTATTACCAAAAAGTTTCGTTAAACAGCACATGTTGGTGAGGATGTGGAGAAAAGGGAACCTGTTGTTGGGAATGTAAATTGGTACAGCTGCTATGAAAAACAGTATGGAAATTTCTCAAAAAATTAAAAATAGAACTGTCATACAATCCAGCAATTCTACTTCTGGGTATTTTCCCAAAGAGGTCAAAAACGCTAATTCAGAAAAATACATGCACACCTATGTTCATTGCTGCATTATTTATAATAGCCAAGATATGGAAGGAACCTAAGTGTCCATTGATAGATGAAGGGACAAAGAAGATGCGGTGTACACATATACACACACACACACACACACACAAACACACACACACAGTGGAATACTTCTCAACCATAAAAAAGAATGAAATCTTGTCATTTGCAACAACATAGATGGACTTAGAAGACATTATTCTAAGTGAAATAAGTCAGACAAAGAAAGACAAATACCATATGATTTCACTTATATATGGAATCTAAAAAAAAAACAACAAATGAGCAAACAGAACAGAACAGAACAGAAACACACTCATAGATACAGAGAACGAACTGGGAGTTGCTGGGGGGAGTTAAGTAAGTGGATGAGTGAAATAGGTGAGAGAGATTAAGAGGTACAGACTTCTTGATCCAGCAGTCACACTTCCTGGGCATATATCTGGAAAAGACAAAAACTAATTTGAAAAGATACATGCATTCCGGTGTTCACAGCAGCGCTATTTACAGTAGCAAAGACTTGGAAGCAACCTAAATGTCCATCAACAGATGAATGGGTAAAGATGTGAGATACAGATATAGATATAGGTATAGATATATAAAATGGAATATTACTCAGCCATAAAAAGAAGGAAATAATATTTGCAACAACATGGGTGGACCTAGAGATTATCATACTAAGTAAAATAAATCAGAGACAAATATCATGTATCATTTATATGTGGAATCTAAAAAAATGATACAAATGAACTTACTTACAAAACTGAACGGACTCGCAGATACAGAGAACAAACTTACGGTTACCAAAGGGGAAGGGAAGGAGGCATAAATTAGGAGTTTAGGGTTAACAGATACACACTACTATGTATATTTGATCTTAAATCCTTTTTTGGGGGGTGGCTGGTAATTAGATTTATTTGTTTATTTACTAATGGAGGTACTGGGAATTGAACCCAGGACCTTGTGCGTGCTAGGCACACACTCTACCACTGAGCTATACCCTCCCCCCACTACTATATATAAAATAGATAAGCAACAGGGACATAACTATTTAGCACAGAGAACTATATTCAGTATCTTGTAATAACCTATAATGGAAAAGAATATGAAAAAGAATATATATATATAGATGAATCACTTTGCTGTACACCAGGAACTAACACAATATTGTAAATGAACTATATACTTCAATTAAAAAAAAGAAGAGGTACAAACTTGTAGTTATAAAATAAGTAAGTCACAGTGATAAGGTGTAAAGCATGGGGAATAGTCAATAATGTTGTAATAACTCTGGTGATGGAGGCTCATTGTGTTGATCATTTGTAATATAAAAATACCGAAGCACTGTGTTGTGCACCTGTAATTAACATAGTGTTATAGGTCAATTATACTTCAATTTTTTAAAAAACATAAAAAAAAAAGAGACAGGCACCTAGGTCAGTATGATTAGTGCTGTGAGGTTTGTTGAGAGGTAAGAACTCTTTCTGACTTGGGAAGACTGTAAAGGAATCCACTCAGACAGATCCGGTGGCATCTTCCTGTTAAGTTGGTATACTCTGATACAAGTTATATTGAATTCTCATAAAGCTAATGCCTCGTTACCAGAAGGGTTTTCTTTTTCTTTCTTTTTTTTAATGTTTTTTTCCTTTCCTAATTACTGATTTTTTAAAATATCAATTCAGTGAATACTGAATATTTTGAAGTACCAAATAGGAATTCGGTTTGTATGGCTGTGGTGCATTCTTCTGAAACAAACCCTTTTGCTTTTGATATGATGCTCCATTGTCAAAAGTTCACTGAATGGTAGAGCTGGAAAGTACTTCAGAAGTACCAGCTACTCTGAATAGCTCTTTATGCAGATGAGAAAATTAAGACTCAGGTTAAATGACTTGCATAACTAGCAAGTACTTTTGGCACAGTCAGGACTGTATATCCTGCCAGCAGCGCTGTGAATGTCTATGAATGGAAAGTGTTTGTTTTGGAGAATAATGGAAGTAATCATTATTTCTCTTTGCTGCTGTGTATCCGTCTTAGAGGCGCAGTTGAGTGCTGTTGATGCTTTGATTGACTCCATGAGCTTGGTAAAGAGAGATGAAGAGGAGGGCACCATTGAAGACTTATTTCCAACCACCAAAATTCCAAATCCTCAATTTCAGAGATTATTTCAGGTGAGAGGAAACCAGTTGTATTTTTTTAGATGAAGGAGCACTGAGTGAAAGGGAGGGTAATTGGCTGGTCCCAGTCAGACTGAGGGCTCATTTGCTGTCTATTTAATGGAAGAATAAAGATAAAAAATACTCTGACCTTTTAGAAAGAAGTAAAGTTAGGATGCTTTTTTATTTTATTTTTTTTCTGTGGGAAAGCTAGGAGTTTTTCTGTTTGTTTTTTAAACAGGAGAACCTATTAAAAAGCAGATTCTTCTTTTATGCTTTTTCCAGGGTTTTCTCTTCTATTCTATGTGAATGAGACTTTTCTTTGTTTTTTATACCCAAATGGTAGGAGAGTTTTTATGAACTGTGTACTATATAACCGCTATTAGGAAGAAGTGTTAGAGGTCAGATAAAGAGGTTATGGTATGAACTTATTAAAGAGTAATATAAATAAAGAAAAATTTAAAATATAAATCTGAATCATGGCCCAAAGGAATTAGAAGCTGAAGACTGGATTGAGGGAAACGGGGAACTTAACAAGGGAGCTGACTAACGCGAAGGAACGGAAGGGACGGACCAAAGTCGAAGGGGAAGGACTATTCTAGTCCTGGGATAATTTGGTGACAGCAGGACACTGTCTTCTCTGAACCCCACAAAGGTGAAAAAAGTATCCCAAGCAGCTTTTCCAGGCAGACTTTTCTCCACAGGGGATTGAGGGCCCACTGTGGGGGGAGGGGAAGAGGTGGGGATGGGGGTGGGGCTGCATGTTGGGGAGCCCATTGATGGCCACTCTGACTCACTGTTTAAAGCATTCTTAACTAACTCAAGTCCATATTAGAGCCTGTTGTGATTTTGAGGGATCTTCTACTCAGAAGAAACTGCCTATTTTTTGATGGTTGTAATTCCTGTAAGTAGTTAAAAAAAAATCTTTTGTTCTAAAATTAGAACCGTGAAGCTTAACATGTCAAGACTTGACTCAGTGAATACTTCAGTGTTCTAAGTGTTATCAAGTATAAATTACTTGTATAAATTCCTTTGCTGTTTTCGACAAGTAGACGTAAAGACCTGAGGGCCTTTGCCATTTATAGGGAAGGGAGGAACAGACTAGCTGGTGTGGAAAGCTTGCAAAAACAGGTCACTATGGTGAGAAATAGAAACTTCTAACACTTGACAGACTTATCAAGGGTAGGTTCTACTGTCTTCAACAAATGTTTGTCAGATTAATGAACAGATACAAGCCATAAGTGCAGGCATTGTTATCTTTTAAAGCTTTAAGAACTGGCAGCTTTGATTTTTATAATCTATCGACTTTGTTTTCTTTTTTAGGGGAGAGTTTTTCATATGACTTATCTGTATAAAGAAATATCATTGCTAGGGTGTTTATAAATTGAATGCACTTTTTTAGAAACAGATATTTACTGAGTACTAACAGTTACCATGTGCTAAAAATATTAAAAGCTCACTACCTGAAAGGACCCATCCAGAGGAGTGAGAGCAATAGTGAGACATAAAACCAAGGAAACAGGAGGAAGGAGATTCTTGCAAGTGAGTGACTTAGGGAAGATCTCATTGAGGAGTGAAGGAGATGTATGTGTGATGTGACCAGGGCGCGCCAGGCGAGAGAAGTAGCATATGCAAAAGCAAGAAAACATGAAGAACTGTGATATATTTAGGGACCCACAAATAGTTCCGTTTGGCTGGAGAATAGACCCTATGGGAAAATGGTGGGAAAAGATGGCAGGGAAGGTAGGTAGCAGGCAGGTCATGAAGAGCCAGTAGTTCTGATTTTATCCTATAGGCAGTGGGTAATCACTGTAAAGGATTTTGTCAGCAGATGGGTGACAGTTTTAGAAGATAGCTCTGATGATGGCGTGGGAGGTGGACTAGCGACTGGTTAGGAACCCTACAGCGGCCCACACGAAGACTTGAACTAAGGCAGTGACAGAGAGTGGAGAGGAGAACGTTTAGAAGGTAGAGTAGATAGAACTTGAGGGATTGGGTGGTGGTTGATGAGAAGTAGGAATTGAAGATAACAGGATGCTAGCTTGGATGGCTGGAAGAATGATGTCACCATTAATTATGACAAGGCATAAAGAATGAACAGACAGAAATATAACTCATGTATTCTTGCAAGTGTTAAATTTGAGTTATCTGGTGGCTGTCCCAGTACAGACACTCAGTAGGAAGTTGGAAATAGGGATGCAGAGCTCAGGAGAGGATTTAGGACTAAATATATTGATTTGAGAGTCCTCCTCATTTAGATAGAAACAGAAGTGAATGAGGTCACCTGGTGGAGTCTGTTGCTTGAGAAGGAGACAGAACAGAGTCCTGAACACCAGCAGGACTGACAGCTAGGGGTGGACAGAAGAAGAAGAGCTGCTAAGAACTGAAACAGACTTTCCCCACCTCCACCCCACAAAAAGTTCAGAGAGAGAGAGAGAATAGGAGAAGCTGGTGCCTCGAAAGGCACAGGGAGGGAAGAGCATCAGAAGGAAGGAGTCGCAAGTCAGACCTTGTGCAATGGTGAGTAGGGCTGAGCCTGGCAAAGGGCCTTTGGGACTGACAGCAAAGTCTTTGATGACGCTGAGGGCCCAGTGGCAGTAGAGGAACGGGGTGGGAGCCAGGTTACACGGCCCAGAGGAGAGAGCATTACTGATGAAGAGAGAGGACCCAGGAAGACTTTTTTTTACCCTATTAAATGAAATATCTATAGCTCAGGGTAAATGAGTGAAGAGTAGGAGGCAGAGGGAGGGAGAGATTTAGTAATCAACTTGTTGACAAGAGGTTAATTCCATTTTAGAAAGAAATGCTGAAAAATGCGTTTTTTGTCAAGTGTACAGTTAACACTGCCTTTATAATAATTGATACCATGTTGCTAAAATCAAAATCAACGTATTAGTAACTTATGAGCTAGTCATTTGGCCTGCAGTTTATTCTCTAGTCTTTTTCAAATTGTAAAAATTACATCAAAGAATAATGGTTGCTGACAGGAGAAGTTAAGTAGGTTGAGGACTGAGATCTCAGCTTCTCAGTTACTAAAAAGTGTCACTTTTTCATAAAGTTTTTTTAATGAATTGGGATTTTTTCATTGAGTTTTGTGAATATCCCACTTAGCTTTATCTAAAATGTTTCTACCTTTGAGAAAATATGAGAGATTGATGCTTTAGAACATCTCTTGTGGGTCCCTTATTACTGCTTATGGATGGTGACACTGTTTGAAAGTACTGCTGAGAGTTCATACTGAAAATCTAGAGTGTGTTTCAGTAGGGAGTCTGGGTAAGGTATTTATCCATTGTTTGTTCTAGTTCTTTTCCCAAAAATGTCATTTGAATATCACAAATAGAATCTTCCCGAGTAAATGAGAGGTAGTCCCCTCTGTTAGGTGTTTGACTTCTGCTTACATCTTTAGGGCTTTCCAAGCTGTTTTAGGTATTTAATGACTGAGGGTGAGTGCTGAAGATTACAAATTATGCACGAGAAGGCTGGGGTAGATTCACAGGGTTTGGGATTATTTGGGTTCCCACTTTTGCTTCGTATGAAACGGGCCTAATGTCATTGATGCTCCAGGGAAAGTGGAGTAATTAGGAGAGAGGAAAGCAGGAGTCAGACTCTGAAACAGATGAATTCTCTAGGAGGAGGACTTGGGATTGGTGTATTGAAATCAGGGAGCAGCGCGTGAAATTTCTAGGGGAAACTGGTACTTAATTCCTACCACAGGGTTTTCTGAATTTGTTGACCGTTGACTCTTGGGTGATATTTACTACTTAAGCCTAAGTATCTTTATTTTTTTAGAACTGAGACATCTAGCTTACCTTTTCTACAGGGTAGGAAAACAGTCCATGGGGTAGCATAAACCGTATACCTTGTGATACGAAACAGTAATTACCAAATGTATAAATTGTTTAAAGGTGGGAATAGGAGCCTTGTTCTCTGACCTAATTTTGGGATTATCCTCTAGCAAGGATGGTAAGGGAAGTAAAACATCAGTGACTTGATAGTTTCATTTTTTTTTTTTCTTAATGGTTAGTTCATCCTTTGCTGCTTACCTTCCTATACTCCTTTTAGCGTATTTGCTTTTCTGGGAAGAAAGCAGTACTGCCAAAGCCTGGTTTCGTAGTCTGAAAGCAGTATCGATGATTGAGTGGAAGTGTCTTGCCGTCCAGATTTCCACTCATGTGAGCAGTGGAGAACCTGGCTCTGGCCTTGATGTTGGCCCCACTCCTGGTGCTGCATCCTGATAACCTCTGTCAGCAACTGGAGTTCTGAGAAAGAGCACTTTGTTCATTCAGCCAATACCTGTTAGGTGCTTATTGTGTGCTGGATGCAATTTTTGGTACTTAGCATTCAGCAGTAAACAAGACAAATAAGACCTCTACTTTCAGGAGGGGAATGGAGGTAATAAACAAGTAAACTCAAAGATTGATAAGATAATTTTAGATAATGATAAATACTGTAAGAAATATGACAAGGTTCATGATAGAGAATGACTAGTAGGGTGAGGGTAAGGGGCTTCTTCATTTAGTGTCAGGGAAGGCCTCTCAGAAGAGACGATAATTGAGCAAAGAGCAGAGTGATTTAAAAAAAAAAGGGCCAACTCTGTTGAGATCTAAGGGAAAGCAGAATGGGCAGATGGAGCATTAAGCACAGGACCCAAGTCTGGAGTGAGCTTGGCATGTGAGTGAAACAGGAGGATCCCAGTCTCGCTGGGTTTGGGGAGTAAGGAGGAGGTGGTGAGTGGGTGGCAGGTGACGGGAGACGGGAGGATTCAGGGGCTGTGTTACGGTTGACTCTAGGACATGGAAAGGAGCTCGTTTTAAGATGACTTTACCTACTACAGTAGAGCCGTGACAGTGGATGCAGGGAGGCCAGTTAGGAGGTGATTGTGGTAGCCTACCTGGGAGTGCTGGTGCCTGGACAAGAGTGGGGGGAGTGGAGATGGACAAAGTGAGTGGACGGGGGAGGGCAGCCCAAACCCAGCACGTGGGGGAGGTTTGGGACAGAGCTGTGGTCTCATCTCTTCCATGGAGTCCTTCCTGGGACTCTCTGAGCATGGGCTCCTCTCCTTCCCAGTCACCCATTGTATGTTGTTTTCTCTGATTATGCATAGGAGAAAGCACAGCATGCTGAAGGTGGGGCTAAAAGGATTAAAACCAAAAAGTTATAATCCCAGATTGTCAGAGGTTCTTGGAATTATGTGTCTCAGGGAACCTGTCTATCCTCCAAGTACTTAAAGCAGCAGCTTCTTTTTCTTAGATGAGGCTCCTTTCCTGGTGGGCTTCAGCCAGCCATGCTGCTAGGCACTCTTAGACATTACCAAGGCCCTGCTAACCATGGTGGTTCTGGCTCCACCCTCTTTGCTATCTTTTACACATAAGAATCCCATAGCCCTCCCAAACTAGAGATGGAGGACCCCTGATCAGAAAAGCGAGGTGAAGCTGTGTGTGATGTCTGCACCTGCATTTTAAAATCCTTCTGCCTTTTCCACAGTGTCTGCTGCACAGAGCTCTACATCCCCAGGAGCCTCTGCCCCCAATTCAACAGCACATTTTGAATATGCTGGATCCCCCCGCTGAAGTGACTGCTAACTGTCAGGATCCTCTCTCTAAAATAAAGGCCCTTTTCCCTCTGACTGAAGTCATCAAGAGAAAGGACCAAGTGACCGCACAGGACATTTTCCAAGACATGTAAGTACTGGGTGGAGTTACATGTGACATTGGAGTCCTAAGATTGGTGATAGCCTGAGAGGGGCTCTGGAATTGAGGGTTGCATCTGGGTTTGTGGAATTACAAGGGTAGGAGGAAGGAACCTTACGCTTTTTGACCCTTGCATTGAAAATACTGCTTTCTCATTTCTGTTCATTGTGGATATATTTTATCCTCGTTTTCACCTGGAACTTAGAGCTGCCTTGTAGGTTGTTGATCAGCATCAGATTCTTGGTGAATTACAGAGATAGGAAGAATAAACAGTCTTTGAATGTCTGAGACTACATTATACTAGTTTTAAAGTAAGGTGCTGCGGGTGAGAGGAGAGGGAGTTGGGTCAGAAAGATTTGCATTTTGGAGGTAAGGCGTCAGGAGAATATCAGTGAGATTTGTGGAGGGAAAATGGGAAGGAGAACGAAAACCCTGGACCCTCTGTAGCTGTGCTGTTACCCTGTTGGTGATGTACTTGGTTATACCATTAGTGAGGTGTTTGTAGTATAAGGATTCTAAAATGCCTTTCTTATAATCCTTAACTCAAGCTTTCAGGTAGCTATTAAGGTTTTTTTTCTCTGCTTCAAATTCTGTTCAAAACTATAGCAATTTCCATTCAAAGCAGAACAAAAACAAACCATAAGAAGTTGTTCTCATCCAGAATCATTTGGGTCTATTTTACCAGGTTAGGTTTGATTATTGGTGGCTTTTCCCCAAAATCAAAATGATCTACTCATTTCTTTAGGTTGCATTCTGAGATCCAGTTTTAGACCATAATTTTTATTTCCTTTTTCTTTGATTTCCTTCCCACAGCTGTATCTTTATTGACAAAGTAAAGCTTTTATTTGTAAATACCCCATTGGAACAGTATGGAATAATTTCCAGAAACCTTTACAGGGTTCTATAACTTGTTAATTTAGTGAATTATCTTCCAAGTTGAAAATTAAACCTTGCATTTTCTGTGGCTTTTTAGAGCTTAATACCACAAGCTTTGTCAGAATTGAAAAAAGAAAAAAACAACCATAGGATTGATAGAAAGATTCTATCATGTGCATTTCTAACACATCCTGGAGACTTTTATGTTTCTTTTTAGTCTGTCATGCCTTCTTTTACACAGGAAGACTATCACCAAAAATCTCCCCTACCCCGCCATCCTCATCTACCTGTATTCCTCTGGATTCGTATCTTAGAGAACAGTTCAGTAAAATGCTGAGTCCATTTCTTCCCATGACAGACTTGCTGTGGTCTCACTGCCATCATATGGCTATTCTCTTTTTGAATGTTACAGCTCCAGTTAGTGATCTTGATTACCTGCTGGCATTGTGGGAAAGAAATGGGCCGTTTTCCCCTCCTTTTGTTGATTAAAATGTAAATTAGCTGGTTAAAAGAACACACCACCCAGTCCCTGAAGGCTGGAAGGCTGGCGCTGTGTGGTTTGATCCCTGCTGTGATGACACTTTCAGCCCGTTCCTGCCTCTCACTCCTTCTGGAAGCTTGAGCTTGCTGGGCTTCTTGTTCTTTGCTCTCATGCGACACAGCCAGATTATCTGCCTGGGGCCTGAGAATAATCTTGCTCACACACACCTACTCACATTCCTATTCTTTACTCTTCCTTCTCAGAAATCTTGGTTTTTAAGAACTGCAGAAATGACGCACTTAACAAATATTTGTTGAGTACCTCCTATATTCAAGAATGACTCAGTCCGTTCTGCAAGGTTTCTTATACCCCTTAGTTTTTATGATAAGGCTCCAATCAGCTTTAGAGGTGGTCTCCCTAAGGGAAAAAAATTGCTAACAACTAGCTATGTTTTTGTGTATATACAGCATCCCTGTATCCAGGGTACCTATTTCCAGTGTTGGAGTGAAGGGTGAAGACAGGGGAGTGAGCAGATGTCTGTTCAGGAGGTGTCAGAGTCCACGACAAGGGCCCTGAGCTGGCAATCACTAGTGTTCATTCCAGCTCTTGATCTGGTTTTGGCTAAATAATTTTACCTTTATGAAAGTTTCTTCATCTAAAAACAGTCTCATCACAAGATATATTATAACAATAAAATTACAGATATTAAAGCACTTTAAACTATTTGGAGGGAAGACAATAGTTGAAACCTGAGGCAATAATACTATCATTATCAATAAAAGCATTGAACATTTGAGAAGATCTGCTATTCATGCTGAACCTGTTGAAACCCTAGTTTTAGAAGTGCTTCCTTCATTTCTGTGTTTGTGTGTGTGTATGTGTGTGTGCGCGCGCGCATGCACTGGACCCTTTTGATCATCAGATAAAAAACTAAGAACTCTCTCCCCAGGAAAATGCCCTCACAGAATAAGTTTTGCATGTAATTTCAAGTAGTTCACAAATTTCTTGACGTCATCCTTGGATCCCTGATTAAAAACCTTTGCTTTCCTGGCTTCCCATTACCTTCAGCTTGAGATCAAACTCTGTGACACAAATAAGAAAACCCAGATAAGCAGAAGCAAAAGAAGTATCTATCTGTAATCCAGCTGCCTGGAGAACCACTTTCTTTCCCCACAGTTTGTACGCCTACAATTTAGATACTTTCCATCCTCATCTCTCACTACCTCCCAGCCTGCACGTCATTCCCCAGCCCAGTACAGCTAGTTGCTATCCTCTCAAAGGAATATGGTGCTTACCATAATATTTGTTAATTGCCTGTTTATATATTTATCTTTTTTATTTGGCTGAACGTCTTGAAGGTGTTGATTTTCTATAAACTTTTGTGACCCTGTACAGAAGGTACAGACCCTGTACCTTCCAGGGCGCAGGTCCTTCGTAGATAGTTCAGGGATGAGAGCCATTGCGCTCTCGAACCTCAAATAGACATTGTGAGTTTAATGTAGGTAAAACTCCTAATAATGCTATTAAGTGATTCAGTCTTGAGACTATTAAATATGTTGTTTTCACTACTTTCTGCTTATTTCTGGGCTTGCCTTCACCTGCTCAGTTCTGGAGAATTAGTATATATGTCTCCTTATCCTTCCTTCCCTAGAATCCTATCTTGAAGGGTTTAAGAAATGCTTCATGGGGTTCAACCCTGAGTTCTCACAGACCTTAGCATAGCTTTGTATGTTTAATGCTCCTGAATACCACTGTGTAAGTGAATTTGTATTTTGGGGAGAGAATAGGTGAATAGTTGATACAGTCCTGATACTTTTCATCGTAGTGTTGTCCTGAGGAGCAAGCTGAAGATGAGAGAGGACAGTAACCTACTAGACCCTAAACTCTAGATAAACAAAAATTAATACACTGTGAATACCTTCAAGAAGGTAAGGTGTAACATTCCAGGCCTAGCCAGTGACAAAACAGACAAATCCAGGTCTTTTATCCCCAAATTAGCAGCAGAACCATGTTTTCTCTCTCTTGGGAAGAATTGACAAAGGTTAACTGAAATGTCTGTGACTTTTTTTTTTTAAAGGACTCAAATTCTGTTGGAATTTCATGCTTCCTTGGGGTTTGTACATTTCCCCCCCATTTTTTGCCAACAAGGCTTTGTGTGTTTATTCTTCTTCTTCTCAAAGGAAAGAGCTCTGAATGACTCACCCCTTTCAATGTTTCCTGGCCCCTGTCCTCTGTCTTCTGCTTATCTTTTCTTTTCAAAGGGGAAAAGGCAAGTGATGAATGGGAAAGATGCCAAGTAGTCGAACTTTTAATTCAAATTTTAAGGCTGTAATGAATCCTTTAGTCCCTTCATCTAGCTATGAGAGGAGATTCATTATTGAAATATCATTGAATAAACCAGCTTATGTCTTATTTTTCTTTATTTTTAGGACAACCTCTACTTCAAGCCTGTCTGAAAGTTGAACTTTTGAATAAAAACATCACATTTAGAAATACTAGATCTTAGTTACTAATTTCCCTTCTCATTCAGCCATTTCTTGACAGTTGCTTTTGCCCCAGATTGATTATTTGTCTAGGAGAAAAATCTTCATATCTCTGTGTTCAGCAGTTTAAGAGAGATTATGGGCAGAGTCTTTGGATTTGATTTTCTTCTCCTTTGCAATTAAGCTGACCTCCTCTTGACTTTAAGGCAGGCTGTTAAAGCCAGCATGTGCCTTCAGGCAAGATGTTTTAATACACTTCTTTGGAGTCAGCTTTCCTTCACCATATAGATGCTTTTGGACTCTGTTAGCATATTGCCCAAACAGAATTAGGTTTATAAAACAAGAAATTACAAGTTTTCTTTTGAAAGTGTTGGGTTATATATATATAGTTTAAGACCTCTCTAAGAGCAAGCTCTTGCATATTTAATGAAGGATCGTCTAGTAAGTTTTGACAGCTGTAAGTGGAAACTTATAAAGATCTCAGACACACAATGGAGAAGTAGGTTGTTAGACACAGAGGTCTTCTACATACAAGGAAAGCTAATAGCTATCAATTCTAGGGTGGAAACTAGCAAATAATAGCTGAAGGGTAAATGGGTTTCTTACTGAAATGTTAAGTTTCCATTACCTGTGCTTGAAGTCTCGTCATTTGAAAGGGCTTTGTGATGCAGCTGCTAATTATGATTTCTGGACTGCTGGAAACAAAGCCTGGCTGCCAGGGTAGGGCTGTCAGGAGCTCAGACGCTGGGAAGGGGAGGCAGCTGTTTGTAAAGGAGAGCTAAGTGTGGCTGTTTATTTTTGATTCTTGAACAATAAATTTACACTTTTCACATCATCAGTTTTGGATTTTGTGTTGTTAAGGAGGGAAAATAAATTTATTTCTTTTCCAGCCGTGAAGATGGACCCACCTCTAAAAAATTGAAGACTGAGAAAGAGGAAGCCCCCTTTAGTGTCTCCAGCCTGGTTGAAGGCAATGTCACCTGTGTAAGCAGAACTTTTCCAGAGTGTTCCCCTCTTTCAGAATTTTGGGGCTTGGGGGAGATTGCATCAATTTTTGTTAGTCCTTTAATGAAGCACCTTCTCTGGTCCTTTCAATACAGAAACCATACAGGCCTGTCCCACACTTCTTCCCTTCTTCCTTTAATTATTGTCAGTGAATTACGTACAAAATTGGCTATATGATACATAGTATGTACAGCACTGTACAGTACATAGAGCATGGAACATCTCAGTGGTAGCAGTTCTGTAGAGATTATTTTGGTGGCTTTGTTTTGTGGCTTTCTGTTTGGTCACAATGATAGGATAAGTGGGGGTTGATGATACAAGTCTTAATCTCCAAATACATATATTTTAAGAGTGTAACTCTTTAATTTTCTAATAGACAACTTCATGGCAGGTTTCACTAGTTTAGGATTTCCCCAAAACAAGTGACCTTTGACATTTAAGATCTTCTCTATTTAATAGGAAGTTTTTTGGAACTTGAACATCTTGCCTTATTCTAAAAGGCATTATTTCGAATCCATGGATCTTAAAAATTGTCCCTTACTAGCCAAATACACTAGGAAAGGTAGTACTGGGGCATGCCTTTTCCCCACCTCAAAAAGAAATGCTGTCAGAAAAGCTGAATGTCTTTATTTCAGTGTTTCATAGTAAAGGGAAAAAATCATTACCTTATTTAAGGGTTTTTCTGACCGCTATACCAGAGCAGACTAGAAATTTTGGTACATTTTGTACCAAAGTTTACCAGCCCTGACAAAACCCTGTTGTCCTCTCCCCGGTGTGCTGAACCAGGTTGGGACTGGAAGATGAAAGACAGAGGTCTGATTAGAAAGTGCCATGTAGTGTGGCAGAGATTTGCATCTTTGATGCCGTCCCACCTAGCACTGATCTGCTTTTACTTTGCGGGACGTGTTCAGTTTGGGCCTATTTGAGTTTTCTACCAAAACTTCAGTGCCAGAGTCAGCAGCAGTCCCCCAGAAAAGACAGCTCTGTGAAAAAGCATCGGTCTGTTATCTCTCATGTCATCTTACTAGGACACAGATACTCTAGCTGACCGCATGCTGCAGATTACTCCCCTTCCTGATTGGCTGGGTGTCAGGATGCACAGGAAGTCTGCCACATAAAGCCTCCAAGCCAGGCTGCCTACTGCCTTGGGTTGTAATACCTGTGACCCCCTCTGGAAAGAAGTCCGTATACATGAGGAGAGGGAAGTGAACAGACAGACAGATGGCAGCCCTCTGGCCACAGGAATCCACTAGTTTTTAACGGAAATGTGGAAATGAAAATGAATAGAAAGGGCCCTCACTTTGTCTTTGCTTCTGTTTCATAAGAATATACTACATTAAGCTGTCATGTCTTGCCTGGCTGCCAAAAAGGGAAGTGACCTGCAGGTTTATTGTCTGTGGATATGTTCCAGGTTGGAAGTGTGAATCCTGCTGAAAACTTCCGTGTTCTAGTGAGGCAGAAGAAGGCCAGCTTTGAGGAAGGTGAGTGATACGCCTTGGGCCTTGCGCTTAAGAGAAAAATGGTTAATTAGGGTAACTGATAAGTGTCGTCTTTTGTTATAATGTCTTGTATAGCAGTTTCCTTTCCTGATAGATCTTTGTGACTGTCCCTTGTTAGTGAGCTCACCAAGGCAACATTATGAGCACATGAGGGTAAACTCAGCATGGGGCTGCCAAATAGAGAAGAACTAATTCGTAGGTGTCCCTGTAAAGAAAATTGTGGGCCAGAACCTTGCAGCTTGTAGTTTCATGTCATCGAAGTTCTCTGAGGTCTTGTGAGTGAACTTGGAATAAAACATTTTTGTGTCCTAGCTTGTTTTCTGAGACGTATCATTCTTATTCTCTCCTAAGGGTTTGAGCTTCTTGACAGTAGTCTCAGAAAGACCTTACTGCTGCCCCTAGATTTGATCCTTCTGAAATTGACTGCATCCTCACATTTTTTAAATCAGATATAACCTAGAACTCCATCTAGGCTTGGGCTGATATTAAAACAGCCTCCAGGGATGGATAGAGGGTCTCTGGGACTGACATTCATTCACTTGACTACCTTCAGGTTCCTGTTCATTCACCTTTAAGGAGCAGCAGCTGGCAGTTGTAATCCTGCAGGTGTGTGTGTATAGCAATGTTGTATTCATTAGTGCTGCCCAGGGTCAGGCCTGTCTGCGAGCTGCCATCTCTGTGAGTGTTTATGTTAGTGTGTGTGCAGAACTTTCTCTTCCAACTTCTTGACATTTAAGGGGGAAAAATGATCCCTAAGTGCCTAGAAACACTGCAGTTTTTTTAGTTTAATCATCTGTAGAGCCTAGCATAGGTCTCAGATGCTTTACTACTTGGAATGTGTGAATCCCAGCAAGATGCCTGGACCTGCTGTGCTGTTGCCCAAAGCAGTCATAGCCAGCTGAGAGCTTATCACCCACCAGGCCAAATCCTGCTGGCGGGAATACAGGGTCCAAGCCTATGAGAGTTTCCCCAGGAAGACCAGCTCTGACCTCATGGGAATCTGCATTCTTTTAGGTGGGGTATGTATGTTTTGTGTTTTGAGATTGGGAAAGAGCTCTTTGCCCTGTTAAGGACGGACATATGGAAGAAAACCTTTTTAATTTTAACACAAGACAAAACTACATCTAAATAGAAGAAGGAGATCTGAAATTAAAGTGACAGCTTTCAGAGGGATTGGTGGAAACAGTACTTCAGCGTTTCTCTCCTTCATATATTGTGTTGATCAAAGGAGGCCTTCACAGCTTTTGTACCTGTGTTGTCTCTTTGGCTGCAGATCGTGGCTGTGTGTTTGGAAGGGGGCAGAAGCACTGCTGTGACAAGTCAACAGGCTGTCATCTGTCATGATTATTGTCTTTCTGAAGAAAGACTGAGGCCTTCTTAGCCTTTGATGACATGTTATGGGTTACCTCAGCTAAAGTCAAAGGTCGTCCCTTTGGAAGTGATTAGTCTCTCTGGTTGGTGTACCCATGATCTCTGCAGGGACTAAATCTAGCGTCATCACCATTATAAAGGCAGCCACCAGTTTGTTACTGTCTACTAAGTTCACGTCATCGTGCTGGCCCTTTATTATACTCTTTGTCTCAGTTTTTACCCCACATAGCAATCCTGCAGAGTCACATGAGCAAGTGGGAAAAATGTGAGAGCTGTAACAGTTGGTGCCAGAATTTTCTGAAAAAGAGAATTATTTTTTATTGAGAAAATACTTCAGTAGTGCTTTTTATTGAGAAAAGACTTCGGAGGCTGTGAGTCTTTGTCCCCAGGCTTGGTTGTTCACCAGTGCTGGGGCTCAGTGAAGGGGGAAGCTACTAGCATCATAGAAGTGGAAAGACTAGAGCGAGAGGAGGGGATGAGGAGGAAAGGTAAGAGGGAGAGAGGAAGTGAATGAATTAACCAAGGGCATACACAGCGTTCTACAGTATGTTCCCAGCTCATGGCTGCAAATATGCAGTGTCAGAAAAACTAGGGAATGCTCAGCTAGAGTGCTCTATTCCGGGAAACGGGTGAGGAGGCTGAGTTTTGGGTCTGGAATTATTCAGGCAGAGAAAGCACCTGAGAGCACCGGAGGTCTTGAGAGAAAATTCCTGAGAATTTGCTCCTGTCTTAGGAAAACAGTGTTTCCTCTAGGCTGAATTGGGGATTTGAAGCAGTCCTGTGAAAATAACACGGACAAGTGACCCCTAGAAGGCATGTAGGTTACAATAGGTATTATTATTCATATTTTATAGATGGAAAAACTGTAAAACTGGAACAAATGAACTTCCTCCAAAGTTGTACAGAGATCCAAATCCATGTCTCCTTCAAGTACTGGATTTTTCTACTTAGCAGCACTGTTTCTCCTGATTCCTAATGCCTTCCTTTCCGACATGTTTTTTGTTTGTTTGTTTAAACATTGTAAGGTCAAGCATCTCAGACTTTGTGCTTATCGATAGGATTTTTGATGAGTAGACCAAACTGTTATGTCGAATGCGACTGCGCGCTGGCACATTGCTAGTGTTGTGGTAGTAGGTGTCCCTCTATACCTCCATCTGGTACTTGATCAGAGCTTTCTTTCTAGTGACCTCACAAAAGCAGACTTTTTGCAGAGCCTTGGGAAAATGTGACTTTCCTCTTGTTAGCAACTAGTTCTATCATGGTCCTAACCTGGCTTCTTTTTCTTGCCTCAAGCTCCAAAAATTTATTTTTTCATTACTTTTCTACTTTTGTTCTGCTAGGACATCTCTTTACTAAGGCCCTCTGTGAGCCAAGACTCACTTCCCTTGCAAGCCCAAAGTGCTCCTTCAAGTTTAAAGCGGCTTATCTGGTATTGATCTGGAGATCTCTGTCAGGGACACAGGAGGCAGAAGCCCTTCTCTTTTCTCCAGTTTATCTATTTTTCAAATTCAGTTGCCAAAAGCATGATCAACAATAGATAGTTTTACTCTTAATTAGAACTTGGCCCTCTCGCCTGTTATTATGAACTAAAATATGGGTGTCATTCCTTTCTATCTGGCCTAATAGTAGCGGAGTCATACTGAGAGTATTGTGATCTGATCTCTTTGACATCAGGAGTCTCCAGTAGGCGGCTGCACATTTTCTTGTCTTCTAGTTTTTGATGTCAGTGATATTTCTTATTCTTAGCTTATTGGCACAGAGGAGGTAACACTGAACCACTGGAATGTGTTCTTTCTGACTGCTGATGCTTTGATTCTCAAGTACCCTTCTTTTTCTAGTCCCTTTTCTCCTCCCTCAATACCCCCCACCATTACACTACTGTTTTACAATAGAAAATTCTTGACCACGGCTGTACAGATAATGATCATTTGTAATTTAGGGCTTTTTCCCTCCCACAGTATTCTTAAGTGCATCAGTGCGATCATTTGTGATATCTGTTATCTGCAGTTGTGGGTTGTTGAAAGAACCTGAGAACCTGAATTCTTAGAGACTCCTGGATTCGAGGTTGCCCACTTACAAGAGTGTCTCCTCCACGAACCCTTCTGTGGAGCTTCTGAAGAGGACACCATGGATTTCCACCTCCTCGTCCCTTCCCTGCTTGCACTTAGGAAGAGTGCTAAAATGGTCAAAAGATAGACAGGAAACTGGAGGAGAAGGATAGGCCACATCACTTCAGTTCTCCAACTAACTTCTGTGTGACTGAGATATGTATGAATTTATAGGTTCCCCCTGAATATGAGATATTATGTAAAATAGCTTGAATGTACCTCATGTCAAAAGCTGGTTCTCTAAGGGCCAGAAAGATGTATATTTGTTGACAGATAAAAGGATGGAATGTAACTATGTAATGTGAGATGATTCTTTCCCCAGGGACCCTGTTTTTGCCACTTAGCTTATAGGTTCCATATTAGACCTTGAGTGGTAACAGTGGCGAAGCTCCGTTCCACCAAATTGAATTCACAGGAGCCTGATTGGTTAAAAAACAAACCTGTCAAGAAGAGGCATCCTAAGTAAAAATGGTACAGATTACTATTTGGGGTCTGATATTTAGTGTTAGACTCATGTACAGTGAGCAGTGATGTGCACACATCCATTTGATGGGTGATGATCACTTTATTCTGTGGCTACCTCGTCTTTCTTATACCACTTTGTTTGAATCTCATCTCATCTTCAAGTCTGTTGTCTTTGTTCTCCAACCTACCTTATTCTCATTACATCAAACAACATGGTTTCAATTTTAAAGGATATTTCTTAAAATTCGCTTCTGCAGGACCTTCCAACACTAAGCAGAATGTAGTACTATTAGTAGTACAATTATATCATTTATCAAAGTCAAGTAGACAGTTTTTCAACTCTGTGGGGTAGAGCACTTCCCATTTGCATGGCAGCTTGCTTGCACTCATTATATGATTTTCTGCCATGAATCAAGTCCTAACCTGTGTATTCTCAAGAGTTGGGACCTAGGAGAAATTTCCCATGTGTATGTGTGTGTGTGTGTGTGTGTGTGTTTTCTCTTTTTAATGGACCCTGATTTGTATAATCGTGGATATGAATTACATAACCTATCACAGCTCTTTCCAGGTAAAGATAAGAAGATAGAAACACTGCCTTTATCTATTATTTTGCACAGAGCTGAAAATTTTAAGAAAAATAAGTTCTGTCAAATACTTTGAACATCTTGAAAGGACACTAAATACAAACAGCACTAAAATTTTAAGCATCTTTTGCCCTATAAAAGTTTTGTTTTGTTTTTTTAACAGTTTGAGATACTTTCTTAGTCCTTTCCCAAAATAAGAGTCATACATCTAATCATGAGAGAGAAAATACATGGTTATAGATTTAACAGGTTTAGTCTGTACTTTTATATTTTTTATTAAACATCTGGCTTCCTTTTTGACTTGTTTAGTTTTAAATTGTTAAACTCCAGAACTTGATGATCCAGGCTTATTTTACGCCTTACTTTTCAGTGACAAGTAGTAGTCTCATGTGAAAACAAAAAGTTTATTCGGAATGGTAAAGGATACCGACTAAAAGGGCATGTTATTATTTGA